ATATGCAACATTTTACACGTGGAGGAAAAAACTAAACTCAAGTTAAGTGCCTCTCCTCTCCCTACGACCATGTTTCCTCTGGGACCTCCCATTCTCTCTAAAGGAATTTACTTGTTAAGGCCCCTCAGTACTTACTACCACCCTTTTCCCTTGAGTTAAGTCAAAATTCTTTCGAGAAGACACAAAACCAAAAGGGAAATGAACCTGTTCATATAGCAGAGCAAAACCTACTCTAGAAAAACTTCAGCGCCCACAGCACATGGCTCATTGGGGTTGTAACAGCACAGAGAGTTTGTCCCCATCAGGAAGTGCCCCACCCCTGGGCACTCTGCAAGGCCATGCCTCTTCCAGGGAAGAACGGGTGCTTCCTGAACCTCCCTAGGACCCAGTAAGTCAGAGACAGACTCTGTCTCCCGCCCCGTGAGCACGTCATCTTACAGGCAGCACTCAGAGCTTCTTCATGGGGCATCACTAGTGGAAATGCGTTCCTTTATCAGGAAACCCTTCAAAGGGCTCAGCCCCCTGTTAACACTGACAAATTCCCAGTCCTTTTCTGCACAATTCACCTCTCAATCTAGAAAAATGTTCTCTGTATCACTATTGCCCCCCCCAATCCAGAAAGCCCCCAAAGCTACCGGGTAGCCAGATGTTGTCCTGCCGCTACTCAAACTACTCCCCTTCCCCATCTCATCTCCACCCCCTGCCCTCCACCCGTCCAGTGTAAGTGACTCACACACCACCTTGGCCACGCCTACACCTCAAGTCTTCTTGAACTCCCAACAATCAAGCCCTACGCTGCCACTCTGCTCCCACCAAACCAAGTGATCTGGGATTCAGTTTCTCCTCTTTCCTCTCCCGACTCACTCTCCTACCACATGGCACAACTCTGTCTCCTAAAATTCTAATGCTGTATCTGGTCAAGGAAGCTGACCCCAGGTATTAAGCAGATAAAGATGTCTCCCTCCCAGCAAAAACAAAGCTGTATCACAAACCACTCTCGCATCTTCTCTCCACATCCGAGCACACATTTACTACGTTTTCTGAATCAAGTCACTTGATCTAACATAAACAATAACAATAAAAATAATACATACCTACAGCATGTTTACAATGCACCTAGCAGTGTGCTGCTCAATATGGGAGTACACAAAAAAGAGAGACACTGGCCCCATCTGCACAGCCATGCAAAGGGATTTTGTTAAGTGAAAAAAGCAGACTGCAAAATGACATGCATAATAGGATCTCATATTTGAAAATCGTAATATATAATTGTAATATACACAGAAAAATATGGAAGAATATATTTTAAATCGTTACGGCAGTGGTGGGGAGGCAGTCCTATGGGAAACCTTTACTGTAGATGCTATAAATTCTGTTTAATTTGTTTATTATGAATATGCACTATGTGTGTAATGGGGAAATTTTTAAAAAGAAACTTTAAAAGAAAGAGAGCAAGACCAAATTCCAGCTCTCAGGAAGTTTCCAACCTGGCTGCTATCGTAACAGACAGCGGGAAGGAGAGTGAACGAGAGAGCACAAAAAATCCAGTTACTGGCTCCTTCCAGGAGAAGGACAGGACATCACAAGATGCCAGCTGTCCATCTCAGGCAATGAATGCCAATGGAATTAGAGGGACAGGGCAGCTGGCCCACACGCTTTCAGAAGGATGTGTGGGCAGGGATGGATTTTCTGTGGCGTTGGATGGAGAAGGGCAGGGACGAATGGCATGAAAAAGGGGGCAAGCTGGCCGCGAGGGGCCCCCAGGATGCTCTCAGGCCTTAGCTGCCCTCTTACCAAAGCAGTAATGGAATAACGTGCCCTTCCTAGAAGCAGATCGTTTTAAACGCACGTAAGTCAAATCTAATCTCAACCAAGTCAAAGGGAACACCGCAAATACATCTTTCTAATAAAACGTATTTTGAAATAATTTTAGAATGACAAAGAAATGCAAAGACAGTTTAGAGAGTTGCCCTATCCCCTTCACCCAGCTTCCCCTAATGTTAATACCTTACATAACCACCACACACTCACCAAATTAAGAAATTAACACTGGTTCAAGACTATTAACCAAACTACAGACTCTTGTGGGGTTTCACCAGTTTTTCCACTGATATCCTTTTTCTGTTCCAGGATCCAATCTAGAAGAACACATTGCATTTAATATAGCTCGTTTATAAACAAGCAAACATTTTATGATTATTTATATTCTCTCTCAGGAAGAAAACGTCCTGGCACTCAGGGCAAAGATTCAGTCCTTCTCTTCACCATCAAAGAAAGCAATCTTTGACACGATCTGCCGGCCTCCAAAGGGAACAGAATTTGATCTACAGTGAGATAAAAACCCAGACAATGACCAAACCTCTTAACCCTCCACAAGCAGCCACAACCCTGGCCTCTCTCCACTGGCAGCTAACTGGTATTTAAAGGTAATTTATGTTAATTGCAATCGGGCATATATGAACATTACAAAGCAAGCTGGCTTCAAACAAAAAAGCTCAAGAGAAGAGCCTAACAAAAAATTAATTTTGTAAAAGGCCTATTTCTTATTCCAACTTGTTTTTAAATATATGTTCTGAGTCACACCCCATTAACCGTCTCAATTTATTAATAATCTCAGGGCAGCCAACTATCTCGGATCACACAACGATGAAATCTTGCATAAAAAAGAAAATGAAATATCTACACACAAACATTAGGCAGGTAGTCAGCTGTGATGACCAGAGAGGATTATGATTATTTTTTAACCAGAATTTGTGGTAGGGCAAAAAGAGGAAGGTAGATGAACCGGTAACTCAAACTCTGTAAAGAAAATTCTTCCCTTCTGAGTATGAGATTATTTTAGAAACAAATGGTTCAAAGAAAGTTCTTTGGAATTCTGATCTTCCTTCCCCGTAACAGTGGTCTGAGAGATGGGAGAAGAAGGCCCCCATAGTCTCAAAGACCCTTCTCTTAGCTGAGGAAATGACGGGGCTGCTCTGGCCATTTAAAGCAAGAACAAATACTTTAGCTATAAAATCTACTTTGTAGATTGAATCAGCAAGACAGCTGTTTATACAGAAACCCTTTCCTCTCCCCCTCCAAGCCCCTCAGTGATTCATATCACTAATAAAACACCAGCTAGAACAAAGCAAAACAGCCTGAATAAGAGAGAGAGGCACCCACAGCCACCCACCATCCTAATACCAACTTCGCCCATTTCTCCAAATGACACGTCCCAACCTACCGCACTCGTAAAAGGGGAAAATCTCCCTAAGGAGATTTCTCTTGCGCAGCCAGAAACTGGGTCCTGACTTGTGTAAAACGCTCAGTGGGTGTGACACAATTCATCTGTCACATGCCCTAGACTTTAAAGTATGCTCTCTTTTTAGCCACGGGGAATCTGGACGACTCCCTAGCACCTCCCTCTCTCCCCTCTTTTCCAACTGTGAGCCGGCTCCCTCAGCAATCCAGCAAGCAGGGTGGGAGGACCACCAGATGAATTCCCCTGAGCGACAGAGGCTGGAGGAGGGAAGGAGGAACAGGAAGACACGTGACCATCCATGATCATGGGAAACAGAGCCCGAGAACCCTGTTTGCCCAGGAGTGTGAGCACTTTGCCTACCCTAATTCGCTCCTGTTCACTCTTCAAGGCCCAAGTCAAATGTCACTTCCTCTGTGAAGGCTTCCCAGCTCTCCCAACACTGACTGCCCCTGCTGGGTGGTCCTCTAACACCTTCAGCATCCTCCACCCGTGGAATTAGCACCTTCGCCTGTAGATGAGCTGCCTTCACAGACTGCGCACTCAAGGGCAAGGCCCTTCCTCACCCCTGGAACCCCAGCCCCGTGCCCTGCACCCCGCCCAGCACAGGGGAGTGACAAATGTTTGTTCAGTGAATGAACACAACTCAGCTACCCCCAGAAACCACACTACTAAATGCTAATTACCACGAGTTGCATGAATAATGAATGAGAAATGAACTAACAAAAGTCTCCTTGTTAGCCAAGTTGCCAAGTCCTTTGGGAGCACAAAGAAGGGATCAACTGACTGTGACCGTGGTCGCATGGTTCAAAGACAAGACGACCTGTCTTAAGGGGTGTGCGAGAAGCCGGGAAGGAGGAGGGCCACACCCGGCCGGCAGCTGGCAGTGCCCTGAGATATCGCCAATCAAGTTCGCTTCCCCGACACAGCAAGCCCCCTGGAGCTGGTCTTTGCGTGGCAGACTCAGGAATGCCAGCAGGAGAGCCGAGCTGTCCAAGGACAAACTCATCTTCACCTTCTCCCACAACACCCACCCCAACAGGGCTAGGCCATGACTCACGCATCTGCCACAGCCCCCTGCACCTGCCAGCACTTAAAACTCAAAGCCAGATGCTCAAACAGCACCCAAGCAGAGTGCCATACCAGAGCAGAAAACCAGGCAAGATTTACAATGAGGGAGGCACAGATCTCTTCCCCATTCACTGGAATAAAAAGGTCAAACGAATATTCGACTGGGTGCTGGTCGGAGCCGGACGCTGCCAAGTCTGGGATTCATTCTATCCATCAAAAATAAACAAGCCCGCCCCAGGAAGCCTTCACTGGGGTCATCTGTAGGGCCCCATCTACCTCGAATCCCACACCACTGGGGAGAAGCAGAACCAGAGAGAACCAGGCAGAAACACACTAGAGACACACAGGAACTTTTCCAGTTTCTCTGAACAACACTCAGTCAAAGGAAACACACATCGCCTATCCATCGATGACACTAACATCCCGTATTCCTTAACAAACATAATAGAAGCACTGATTAGAGATTCAGAGGATGTACTGTACATCCAGGAAAAAATTATGATCAGATACTTGAGCCTCTTCTAATTCTGCAAATAATCAAGTAATGGCAAGGTACAGCCAGCACTGTCCCAGCGTGCCGGGGAGACAGAGGCGGAATGAAGGGCGCCACAATGGGGTTCTCACTGCCCAGGAGCTCACAGCAGGCCCAACAGCCCCCCGGGGCCAGGAGCTCCCCCAGCTATGCACATACCTCTGGGCGGTCCTGTACTCCCAGCCAGAAGCAGGTCATGTCCTGTGCAGGTCTTTCGAACAGGAGAGCCCTGGGTCTCTCTCTCCCCAGCCTCATCTGCGGCCCCAGGCTCTGGAGCAAACACCACTCTGGATTCACCCAGGAGTTGCTCTGAAAACCACAGGCACTCAATACCGCTGACCAAGTAGATGGACTTTTTTTTTAACCTTGTGGAGCATAAGCAGTAAATTGTTCAAATGTCCTCAGTTTCGCAACAGAGGCCCTCTACAGAGAAAATCAAATCGTATGTTTTGGTTCAAAAGATTGGCTCATTACTTAAAAAGATCTTATTCTGAAACCTCTGGTACTGGGAATAATTCTCTCTCCTTGACATAGCTTGTTCCAGAAGTCAAGGTTTTTGTATAGCGGATTTTCATACAATGGGGCACACCTGTGGGGGGGCTCCATTTCTCAGAGCCTTGGGGTACATTTGCATTTCTTTCGGCTGTCTAAAGTCTTGAGCTCCTAAGGCAATTCACGAAAAGGCTGTAGGAGCTCTTCCATCCTTTCTGACCCCTCACTGGCTCCTTCTCCTCCCAACATTCTTTGTGGAATAACCCACTCACACTTCCTAGGGAACCTCGAGCAGCCTCCCCCGGTGAGATCAAGGTCCACAGGCTCAGCATCCCTTGGGGACCCGCTTACGGTCCCAGACACGAGGGACCCCAGCAGCTGGAGATCCCAGGGTGAGGAACCCCCCACCTTCATTTCTAACAAGCAGCCCAGGGGGGTTCTTACACCAACCAGCACTGGCTCAGCACTGGCTGCCCCTCTCTCCAGGTCCCACCCCCCGAGTAACCAGGTCTAAGGCCTCCTGAGGATTTCTCTCTCACTCCCGCCTTTTCATACTCACTCAGCTCCTGTCCAGGTCCTGTTCTAGCCAATTAGTCTCCCTCAAACCAGGACCCACAATGTTGCTGAGAAGTTTCTTTCTAAAACATGAACTTGGTCCTGCCGTCGCTCAGGAGCCTCACGATTTCAAACTGCCTTCAGGTACAGGCTCCATATCTTGGCTTAAAACGGCAAAATCTCCTCTGTTCTTGCCCCCAAACCAGGTGTCCAGCCTCCTCTCCCACTCAAACTCTGACCCCACCCTCCACCTCCCTTCCCCTGGGGCCACTGACCCACAGCTCCGTCCTGTACTCACGGCCGCCAGGGGCCTTCCCAGCCCCCAATCCGTTCTCCACCAATGCCCCTTCTCCGTGACTTCACCCCCTCCTCTACTCCCCTGCCTCTGCCTCAACTGCGACATTTCCCACTGTCTCTGCAACCCTGCGCTTACACGCCGGCCTCGCCCACTAGCCCTCCTGAGGATGCGGGCTGTTTTGCTTTTTGTTTTCATCCCTGTCTCCCCATCTCTCACATAGTGCTGGGCCCATGGCCGGGGTGGGGTGGGGTGAATTTACTCCATGAACCAACCCTTTCTTGCCTGTCACAGTTAGTTAGAATGGGGTGTTAATGAGGCTGGGGTCTTGAGTTCCATACCTGTCAGCAACCTTGCCTTTCACTTGCAAAAAGTTTGTTCAAAAGCCAGCCACCTGACTGCTGGTCACAGGGAGGGCGAGGCCAGGGTGTGCAGACAGGGCCACACAACCCAGTCTTACTGCAGGAAAACAATCCCAGGATGCGCCCTGCTGATGACGGGTCAGGAGTGTCATCTCGGCACATAGGAAAAAGCAGCGCAGTCGATCCATCTTCCGGCATCCTCTAATGCTATGAAGCAGCATGTTTAGCTGTTATTTCAATAAGCCTTATTAAGACCCAATTTTCTTGGGTCTTCTTTCAGATTCTGCAGCATTAAAAGCCTCGCTGCTTAATTACATTAGGAGCACCTGTACATATTATGTGCAATAAATCAACTTTAATTTACCACCACACAAGGCTATTCATCTTCCCCGGGTTATTTATTGCTCAGTATTATTGGTGCTGAATTGTATCCTCTCCGCTGTAAGGAAGAACAGTTGGAGAAGGAAAAGCCAAAGCTGCATTTCAGAATGCTCCGGGATGCGGATCACACATGTACATGGCAAAAAGGAAAGAAAAAGAAACATATAAGCGAATCTTGGCAATCTGCTCCTTGCTATTTTCCTAAAACACTCCCCAAACATTTTGATGTTTTCTTTTGCACGCACGCACACACACATACCAGTTAGCCACTGAAACGGCACAACCTGCGAAACAGGCCCACAGCTCTCGCCCGCAAAGTGAGAACCGGGCGTGGGACGCTGGCTCAGCCTGAAACAGGGAAGCGCTGCGGGCAGAGCAGAAGATTTTTTCCCTCGGCCCACTGCGGCTGGTGCCGGTGGGACCTGACGCAGGGGCAGAGCTGAGCAGCTGGCAGGCATCCACACCCACCCACATCAGGTTCCCCATCAGGCAACCTGGAGCGGGCAGAACTATTTCTAGAGAATCCGAGGTGAAGAACGACATTGTGATGAAATCAGAGAGCCTCATTCCTCAAGAATCTAATAAACGCTGCCCTTAAGGAGTCACAGAATTCTCTGCAGACCACCTGCATCAGCACCACCTGGGACACTGAATGGAGATGCCTGGGCCCCTCAACAGAGACCCCAATTTCAACACATCCAGGGAAGGGCCCACGTGATTTTTCTGCGCAGTGAGGTATGCGAACCACTGTCATAAAACCTCAGGAGCACGGCTAACCAGCCATTCCAGAATAATATAACCACTAAGAATGTAACTAAGGGTGACTTCCTTACTCCCTGCCAGGCGCTAGGCCCAGCCCTTTACTGCCATTAAATATTCACAACCACTCTGAAGTAGGTGCTATGCCTCTCATCCCCGTTTAACAGCCAAGAAAACCAAACCGAGGCGCAGAGTGATTAAATAATTTGCCCACAGCCCCATCTTTATACCTGGCCGCGCAGCCGGGTTGCTATGTCTGGGTGTTCAACCACTAGGCTACACTGCCTCTCCAAGCCCGGACACCCCACACCAGCTCCAACTACACAACAAGCATCTTTCATTCTAAATAAAAGGGAGGTTGAAGTCACTGAGACATCACAGCCCCCACTTCCAGCCCATAAAGCCATCTGGTTCCAAGTTCAATATCTAAAGCCTCCACTTGACAACTTGCGGTAGCACCCAGGTCTCCTCTCTGAGCTTCCCACCAACCAGTTTCAGCAGGATTCTCACTCACTCACTCACCAAAAGCTAAGAAACAAGATCGTGGCACACTGTGCCGACAGGCTGCCTTCCCCTGCGTGGGAGCCAGCCCACTGGAAACCACACTAAGATCGCTAAACACTTCACGGCCCTCCTCCTTCTCACGGTGGGAGCTGTGATGGATTTTATGGCACACAACTGACTTTTTTACAAGCACAGCAGCAACATTCAACTTCCATTTGATAATTTGCCTTTAATCAGAGGCTAGGAAAATCCCGGGCCAACCCACCTCACAGACGGCTCGTCTTACAGACGACAGAAAAAGAAGAAAAGGGAGACGAGGACAGCAGAGGCCTGGCAAGAGAAAGTGGGTTTTTTTTAATGAATTCATTTCAAATAAAAGTCCATCTTGTGCACCTGTTCCTCTGAGTGAGGAATTCGTGTGCACAGAGGATGAGGGGCAGGTCAACCTCGTGAGCTTGTAACCAAATACCTGAAGCCAAAACACTGGCCGGCGGGGAGCCCCTGAATATGAAGCCACTTCGGGGGGGAAAAAAAAAGTCCCTCGCCATGACAAGCTCCACAGGGGACTGGCCCAGGGAAACATCACTCTCCCTGCCCTTTCTCTTGACCCCAGAGGGGACTGTCAGGGGCCCAGCCTGGCCCAGGGGTCTTCTCTGGGTGCCTTCCTGCTCTCATTTCACTGTCCAGGTTCCACCCCACATAGAACAGAACCTCAGAACACACACAAACCTTTCCCCTTTTTCCTGTACAGAAGCCACCTGTGGGGCTAGACCCGTGATTCTCAACCGGGCTGACTGTGCCCCCCAGAGAAATCTGGCGATATCTGTAGACATTTTTAGTTGTCACAACTGGGAAGGGGGTGCCACTGGCATCTAGCGGGCAGAGGCCAGGGATGCCGTTAAACATCTTACAGTGTACACCTCACACCCCAACGCACCCTCCCCGTCCCCCACCCCCACTCCAGCAACAAAGAATTATCTGGCCCCAAATGCCCACAGTGCCGAGGCTGAGAAACCCTGGACCAGAGCTCTGACAGTCATTAAACATTAACACTCGCACACTCTTCCCACGGCCTCTGCCCCTCCTAACACCAGCCTCTCCCAGCACCCCAGTAAATCAAGCACAAATTAGAAACCAAACAGGTGCGATCTATAATCTGGAGGGTCTGCACTGATCACAGCCCCCGCTCCCTCGGTGCAAGCTGCTCTCCATCAACAGGAGCCAGCGAAAAGGACGGTGACCCAAAAGAAGCTGGGACTCTGACTGTCTTGAATCGACGGGGAGGTTAAACCTCACTTCAACAGACCCCGAGGGGGTGGGGAGAGGGCAGACTCTGCAGAGAGGGGCCCAACTAAGGGCCTCGAGGCCTGAACTTCACGCTGTGGCTCCTTGGTCCAAATCAGCAAAATTAATCAACAGGTATAAGGTCTAATACCTGCACAGCCTCCTGCCTTTCCCAGCGACGACAGCTGGATCCAGTCTGGCTGAACAATCAGCACTGAGTAAGCGCCCAGTGGATGCCAGGCATTGTGCTAGGTGCTCTGCAGAAGGTGCGTCTGTGCCCACAGCCATCAGGCAAGTCTTATTATCCTCATTTTACAGATGACACACGAGGCTCAGAGAAGTTATGCAACTTGGCCAGGTCACACAGCCAGGATTCAATCCCAGAACTCTCTCTAAGAATAGGTCCTATCTACTATACTACCTTGCCTCTCTTCTCCTAACCATCCCATCATGGAAGGATGGAGAAATAAAAAAAGAGGAAGCCCAAAAGCTACCCTGGGCATCTCCTGCTGCTCCTGGTACCGCCCTGGGCCTGCTTTCCCACACCCCACCCTACAGCTGTTTTAGGAAGGGGATAATCTGACGGCATCTGGATCGTCTATAGGGTCCCTTCCGGAAAATGGCCCAGCACGATCCTGGCACTCCCCTCACACAAGGCACTGTCAGCAGCTGCCCTCTGATCTGCTCCAGAGCCAGGGTGAGCACAGGGCTCTGATTTCCCTCACAACCCACTAGAAACTGCAGCCTGCCTCCCCTCCAGGCAGGGCCTGCGATGGGCCCCATCTGACTGCATATAACTCACAGAAGGAGGGCTAGAAGTCGGGCTGGCCGCATGCAACTGTGAAGGTTTAAACGAAGCAAGGGAATTGCCTTCTAATGCCTCAGTTTAAGAGTAGAAAGGCCAAGAAACACCACGAGCCTCTTTGCTAAGCTAAAGCCCCAGCTCCCACCTGTGTTTGGACGCCCAAAGCGAAACAGAACCCCCAACACTGAACACAAACCAACAACTTCAGGACAGAAGCATGTGGCCAACTGAGTCACGGGAGGATCAACACGCAAGACCCTGGGAATGAGGACCCAGGTGCGGACTGGCCCACGTCACTGGTATATACACTGGCCGTCTCCATCTGAAAACCATCCCAACCTGCTCGCCTCTCCTCACTGCACCCCTCCCCAAGGCCCACACAAAGGATTTGTGGAAGAGATGATAAGCCAACAAATCATAGGGTCCCAAACTCAGGTACAACAGGGCTTCCAGACTCACTGGCCCCTAGGACAGTCAGGGCGACCCCCACGGCTGGGCGTTCACCGAGGAAAGTAGCTTTGTGCTTCCTTTTCTCTGGGCTGCACGAATTCCCCTAACAGTGCAAGGAGGCATTCTCAGCTCCTCGGAGGCCCTTGGGAAGGATCTTATCATGAAGGTTTAGCAAAAGGAAAAAAGAGCGTTCTGAGACCACTTATTTGCAGAGTACTATTATATAGACCATGAATATGGAGCCATTAGGGTTGCTTTTTTTTTTTAATTCCCAATGCCAGGAGAAACGTTGCTTCAAAAATGTCTGCACTGTTTCTCTCCAGGCCGGCCCCTCTCTGGGCCTCTCTCTGTCCCTGGGCATCAGTTCTAACCTGCAGGACCCTGCGCTCCATA